GTCGAAGTCTGTAAATTCTGTGGCCAGTCTTTTGTTGAGTGGAAGCCTAGGAAATGTTCTCTTCGCATAATCTGTGCCACGTTCAAGGCCACGCGATTGTATCAGTCACAGTGCTTGAACAGGGGCGCCGGGCTTGTCTAACGTCTACACGTTTTGTTGACGGCCGCGCCGTTTTACCAGAATCGCGTATAATTTAACACTCGACCGGTGCAATGGATTCTAGTCTAAAGCATCACTGTATTAGTTGTAGATGAAATATACTTATAAGACGGACCGAAAACCAGTGTCGGAATCAGAATGAATTTAGTTTCTGTATCTCGATTTTCACTGAGTCCCATCTGTTTCACGGTCTTATGTAGAGACCTTTACTTATTATTATATATTAAGTTTTCGAAGTTGGTAGACCGTGAATAAACGTTTCTTATTCTGCAACGTTAAAAAAAATTAATATAAATATTAGGTAAAATGACAGTAGTCTGACACTTTATTTTTTTAACTGACTTAAAAAAGAAGGGGCTTTCTCAATTCGACCGTATATATTTTTTTATGTGTGTTCGCGAATAACTTCGTCGTTTATCAACTTGTTTTGATGATTCTTTTTTGTTGGAAATGAGATATCCGAAGGTTGGTTCCATGATAAGGAAACCCGGATCTGATGATGGCATCCCAGAGGAATCGATTGCAATCCTCAAATGTTATAGTTTTCAACAATGTTTTTTAGCTTTCGGTGTGAAGTCGGTTTTTATTTTGTTAAAAATCTTCTCTATACTATAATAAAATATAACTGCTCGTCTGTCATTAGAAAAAATATTATTGGGGGCCTTTATCAACGCGATAGAACCCAATACAATAATTTTTAAAATTTTTGCCTACTTATCTGTTTGTAGGTGCGTTTGTGCACGTTATTCTCAAAAAAGGCTTAACCGATTTGAGTGCAACTTTCACTAATGCATTTCAGTAATCTTCACTTAACATTTAGTACGAGTTTTATTTAAATCATTGAAGATTGTGCGATAAAATGCTATATAATAGCTACAGTTGAATTGGATGAAACTTCGAAACTGTAAATTATTGATTCATATCAGCACTGCAATTTCCATAAAACCTTATGTTCTTAATGTTAAAAAAGTATTACATTAAACAATGTTGTTTAAACATTTTATGCTATAATATTTTATAGGATAAAATATCATTGCATTTAAAATACACATATTGTCCATTATTTTCAGTTAATTTATCATTTATTTTATCTATACAGATAAATAAAATGGGAGTATCTAGAAATTTAAATTGTTTATAGTGCTAATCTTTGCACATTTCCTACATATGTACATTTTCTACATATTTTAATGGGAGTGTCTGTTTGTAATATTCAAATAACCGCTTTTTACTAAAGGCTTATGGATGTATACACGGTATATATACCAAAATGACAATTTTTACAATTTTCATTTTTCATCTGTCTGTCTGTTTGTTTCGGCTAATCTCTGAAACGGTTGGACCAATTTTGACGGGACCTTCACTGGCAGATAACTGATGTAACAAGGAGTAACTTTACTACGCTACTTTAATTTAGATTTTTTTATTTTAAATTTCACGCGGACGAAGTCGCGGGCACAGCTAGTAATTAATAAATACGTGAAGTACGTATCCAAATGTATAATTTAGAAATCCATCTGAAAGTTAGGGACTTCGAGGGACGAGAGAATCTTGTAGGAAAACTACTGATTTGCAAAAAAAAAAATCGGGAAGAAAACAAAATAACGGTGAGTTGGAATGGAATCAATAAATCTCGTAACTCATGTGACGCTATGAACTGGCTCGTATACATGTATTACGCGATAAAAGTAAACAAATAAAATCATGAAATATTACACACACTGTCATTGTTTTATAATGATGAATCGCCAAGTGACACTTCCTATTTACGTGACAAATTACCTTCTTGCCGTAAGATATGGGTTGCTATACAATCCGATGTTAATAAAAATATATACTGTCATGACCAAATTTCAAGAAAACTAGTTTATATACGAATAATTATAAGTGATAATGCGAAATTGATGATAATGCGACATTAAAAAAGTTGTGGTAACAGCATATATATCATGTTCTTGGTAAAAAGTAAGGCCCTGAATAAATAGAAATATAGAGCCCATTTAGGGGTATATATTATATATTATATACCCCTAAATGAGTTCCTGGAGTGATACATGACGCTCGTATGTACGTAGGGACCTGCCACGATCCTAGAGTAGAAAGCAGGACCTAGTTGGTCTATTGGTTGGATTGATACATTTAGTAGGTAGAATCTTAACATTTTCTTCAAATATCTTCAGATATGCTCGTTTTTACAAGATGTTTCACTGCATGTGGTTTATCAGTACTTAAAATTGCAATTAACAGTTTCTACGATACCAAAATAGTGGCTCAAGTATATAGATCAGGTATCTTGGCTCTGTTAATACAGATAGATTAAAAATATATTTTGCTCATAAAATAACTTAACTACGTTTGTGATTATAAATGAATGTATTTAGACTTGGTAAATAAAGTAATAATTAATAATATTAGTAAGTAAATGTCAAAAATTTCTTTGAAAAACAATTTTAAAATAAAATACCTCTAACAGCATTCAGAGACTGAAAGCAAGGGTTCTCTTATGACCGGGTATTAATATTTTAACTAAAGGTAGATTTTGTTATTGGAGATAGAATAATGAAGTAAGTATTATGGAGCTAATGTCAAATACCTATCGCTAGTAACCAAATCTATCTGTAGATAAAATGTTGAAACCTGCATTTAGGGGTTTTTGTTCTATAATTTTCTGATTGCATTTTCTTTGTTTTATTTGGCCGAGCTTTTTAATTCAATTATTCGTTTTTTCATTGAACAATTTCCAAAGTACAATAACGAGCTTCAGTTAATGTTAATAATTAAGAATAAAATGCAAAATAACTGCAACAAAACTAGCTAAATTATTAATTTCTTTTTTTAACACACTGGTCCTGGTACAATTTTTTTTCCTTATATTGTGATTTTAATTAAAAACAAAAAACTAATGGACGATTTGACAGTTTAACAGTGCAAAATATCCAAAATTTTTTTTTTTTCCTTATAAATAAATAGAGAACGAAGTTACAAATTAGTGATGCATTCAATAAGTGACGTTAAAGATCTTTTTCCTCAGCAATCAAATTTTACGAAGTTATCTTAACGGTGCCCATAAATAAACCAACAAGTAAATTATTAATGTTGTCTGCATAATTCCTAGTTTTTCCGATCACACAAATATGATAAACGCAAAGTTTGTTTGTGACTTTCGTGTGGTAACAGTTGGACACGAATAAGAGGAAATTTGAACGATACAGTCGTTGCTGAATAACAAATAAGATTCATTTTTCAAATTTTTTTTTTATTTTTTTCTTTCCGGCTCTTTTCTAGACAAGTCTAAATTAGCAAAGTGGTAGTATAGTTATTTATTCAATACTAGCAACCCAGCTTCGCACGGGTGCAAATATAATTTATGTACCTTCCGCTTGAATCTCTATCTATTGCTGAAAATCGCATTGAAATCCGTTGCATTGTTTCAAAGATCTGAGCGTACAAACATCGGGAGTGACTTTGTCTCATACTATATTCAATATAGGCAAAATTTAATAGTGAAATTTTAACTTGCGACTTTAAATCTTATAATATCGCGAAGAAACGGCGGGCCATGTCGCGGTTAGAAGTTAGTTTTTTTTTATATCTTACCCGTTATTATATTTCCAGTAATTAGGAACTGCTTTCTTACAAATTTGCGACAGGTAATTTATATAATTAGGTTACAATCAGCTGTTTAATAGCATCTTTTGGCCCACATTGTTTGTAAAACGTTAAATCTTTTCCTAATATGCGAGCTATAAAATGTTTTTTTTCCTTTCTTACCGGCATTCTTTAGTGCCTTATTAATTCTACATCTGTATAAAACGATAGAGTTCTTATCGCTATGGAAAAACCTATTGGATAAATATATTTCCTTAAACTTCCATTCGGTGCTTTTAATGGAAGTAAAAATTGTTCAGGAACACGTTTCTCTGTAACATATGTTATCAGCTCTTTAAATTAATAAAATTTTTATTTTTATATACTAAAATTAATACAATTAATTTGATAAAAGCCAATAGCGTATAAACAGCATTAGATTAAAGTAACTCATCACAAGAAAATTTAAAAATAATAAGATAATGAATTGAATACCCGCTTCAGGTTAAAAGGTTTTAAAACGTTTATGTATTACATCAATGGCACTAATTAAAATATATACTGATACACAAAATCGAAGAACTTTCTTTGATAGAAAATATTAAATCTAATAGTTTCAGATCATTTTTTTACAACTAATAGACTTTAAAATTTCTAAATTTGTAGAAAAATGTACAATCTTAAGTGTAGAGATTAGCACTATAATAAATTTAAAACCAATAGACTTGTTAAAACTACGTGTCGCGAAAATGTTTTTAGAATTCAAGTCGCGACGATTTAGGGCTACCTTGAACATTTCCATTGCATGCTATTCTATACCTAAGCATTTATTACACTTTTAAAACTTTTCAGCATCCTTTTTTATAAAATAACTTTTCATAAAAATAAAAAAATTGCATTTGGCAGACGTGACATGTGCATATTTCAAAAAAACTTCAATGACATACGTTGACTAGATGAAAAATTGTATGAATTAAACATTTTTTACTCAAACGTATTTATTGGGCATAAAAATCTTAAATAAAGAAAGAAAGCTTAAGAAAGAAAAAAAATGAAGAAAGCTTAACTTATGCAGTTTAAAAATCAACGTCGAATTTACTCATATAATGTTGGCAAATTCAGAAAATGAATTATAATCGAATCAGGTACACAAATTTAGGAACGCAACGAGCCTACTTCCGGTAATTTTGCCGCGCGATAAGTGCGCACAGATAATAGAGCGTGGTTCCCGATGACGCGGGCGGGTGACTCACCGCTGTACGCCTTCGGGCGCTGGTCTTCCAGGCCGGGCTGCTCCCAGACCAGCACGTGGGCGCCTCGAGTCCGGGACACCATGTCGGAGCGGAAAGGGACGGACGGGGACTGACGCTTAGGGGGGAGAGAGATAGGAGATGGGGAGCGCGGAGTGTGCACGCGGCGGCACCGCTTACGTTACACTGGCGGTTTGGAGCGCGTACGGCGACACGGGGTTAGGGTTGTCCATCGCGAGGGTTGCACGTGGTACAATTCACGGGCGGACGAGGCGAGGCGAGGCCCTGAAGCGACTGCGAAACGCCCGCCGCCGTCCTCCTCGGTAAATATAGAGGAGGGGGGGAGTGACGGAGAGGAGCGGCGAGGGTTGCGGGTCGGAGGAAGGGGGGGGGGGGGATATACACGCGCTAGATGCGTGCTCGGACGCCCGCCGCGCCTCCACGGTTTTTGCCGCTGAAAGTACCGTCGCGACCGGCGTACAGTCGTCAGCGAATTCTCCGTACGAACGACTACACGCGCAATCTACTGTACTTATGGCGTTGGATTGTGCCGCGGCACGGACAAGTAACGGCACTCGAGCGGAACACTGAGGAAAACTAATGATACGAACACAAAATTAAATGAACTGTTGCTGATTGACGCCCGTCGGGTTGTAGTTGCCAACCTTTAAGTGGATGAGCCCAGATTCACAGGCACCGGCCTCTGGGCAAAAGTATGAATAATTCTGTTAGGTAGTTGTGGTATTTGGTCCGACGAGTCGGTCCATTCGTGATGCAGAAGAAGCTTCCGTTAAAGGGTTTAATAAACTTAGAGGTAGTGCATACTTGGGGTTCGAGGTACGAGGTAGTACATACGTGCTACTAATAAAAGTTATATCCGTATGTTTCTCGGGTTCTAATCCGTGGAGTTAGATGACCAAAAATATTTATATACAATTTTTTTTAAAGTAACTGAAATAGCTATGCGTTTTCTGTAAGAGATTCTTCTGCTCCTTGAGAACTGCCTTTCCGCGCCAGGTTCTGGGTTCGATCCTCGAGCGGGGGAGAGCACCACGCCGCATAATTCCGTGTAACAATGTACTTTGTGTCCGTTAATACCCCCGCGATTAGGGACTGTGGTAGGGTCATGCAACAGTCTTCGCCGTTGCATGAATGGGCAGGTCCGTCCGGGTAAGTACGGCGACCTCACAGAAGACCGGCGTAAAGTAGAAGTGTTATACTTCTGCGTTTCGTCTGGTGAGTGAGGTAGCCGGGGCCCGCTTTACTATAAGGTGGCAACGCGTCTGCAACAACTGCATGTGTTGCAAACATCAATTGGAGGCGGTTATCACTTAACATCAGATGAACAGCCAGTTCGTTTGTCACCTTCTCAGAAAAAAAACAGGAAATTATTTCCTAGTGGGGGATTCTTTGGTTAGATTTTGAGTCTGAGAAATAAATATTTCTTTGAACCTAAATTAAAAAAAAATCCGTGTAACTGACGTAAACGTGTGTAAAATTGTTGAAATTTCTCATTAAAGTATGTATGCTAACTTGAACTACAGATCTACCTAAAAGCTGTTATTATATCCTCAAACAGTAATTACGGTTCAAACGTTTAGAGTATATGTTTCATTGACTTCGATTTTGCATAAGGTGAACACACCATATTGGTTTGGCTGTTTAAAACACGACGTAACTTAAGACGTGCATTTTTTTGTAGATAAATGGACAAAAAACATTCTGCGCTGCGGTTTCGGCCTGCGACGCTTTAAAACAACCACAACTTAGCTACGTAAGGCGTCGTCTAAAATTCACTTTGTAACTTTTATCTTAATTGCAAAGATACAAAATTAAATGGATCATAAAGATGGAGCCTTCGGAGTAACAACCATATTCAGAAGCGGCAACCAGCAGTTACTGCGTCGACACAGTATTGCAACAAGGCGACACAGCCACTCTTAATCAGTCTTATGGGTAACGTAAATAAATTAAATACAGACATCGATGTAATTAAATGCGTTTGAATTAAGTCGGCTTGAAGTTGCTGTCGGCTGATAAGATCCACTAACTTTTGAACAAAAGACTGCAGATGTAGATTGTAGCATAGTGTGATGTAACATAGATAAAGTAAAAAATAAAATGATAAAATTAAATATGTAGATTTTTTTTTATGTGAAAAGTTGTCAAGCGAGCATACGGTCCAACCGATGTAAAGTTAATACCGCCACCCATAGACGTCTATAACACCCGTGGGCTTGCAGCGTTGACAAGTTTTAAAAAGGTGGGCCCCCGTTACCTAACTCACCAGACGAAACGCGAAAGTTTAATACTTCCTCTTCACGCCGGTCTTCTGTGAGGTCGTGGTACTACCCCGAACGCGCCCGCCCTTTCGTGCAACCGTAGAAGCTATTGCGTAGCCCTACCGCAGTATGTGTAACGAAAAAGATAGAATGAAAAAGAATATAAATACGAAAAAGATAGAAATACGACAAACGAACAACTATGTTCTCAAACAGATTCGGGCAATCCAAATCCTATGAACTGTATTCAGCGCAATTTCTCAATTCTGCGAACTTCAGACACGTAATAAAGTTTACGCATCATTACGCTTATTTGGAAATATAATTTAATGTTTTTTTTTTTTAATTTTAACAGATTTACATGGTACAATTTTCAATTACAAACGACCTTAATCGCAAATTAAGAACGCTATACAGAATCTATGAAATATGGTCAGAAAACAGACTGACGTGATCGCTTTAATCGGTCTGTTTTAACTGTATTAAACGTTGCGTTTATCAGAGCGGAGTTTTCTGATAAACGATGTTACACCGAACCTTCATTAGAGTATCCTAAACACTGTTCAAATACAACGGTTCGTCAACCTTGTGTCTCTTCAATTGCGAAAGAAATTTTTATTGTCAGGCTCAACGGAATAGCGTCTATATAGACGTGTTATAATCGAGTATACTATTACGACTGGGAACGCTCTAAGATTACGAATGCGAGTTTGTATGACGTTATGTTATTGTACGATCCACTTCGCGCCGCATATTTCTGATCGAAGGGAATGAATCTATTTCTTGTAACTGAAATGAAAGTTTTAAGCGTCCATTAAGATCCTCATCATATATAAAATATCCAATTTCGAAAGGGCCCTCATATATTAGGGTTCCGTACGCAAAGGGTAAAAACGGGACCCTATTACTAAGACTTCGTTGTCTATCTGTATGTCTGTCCGTCTGTCACCAGGCTGTATCTCGTGAACCGTGACAGTAAGACAGTTTTTACAGATGATGTATTTCTGTTGCCGTTGTAACAAAAAAAATACTAAAAAACAGATAAAAAAATATTTAAGATAACGCTCCCATACAAAAGATATGATTTTTTTGTCGTTTTTATATATTTGTACGGAACTGTTCGCGAGTTCGACTCGATCTTGGGCGGTTTTCATCATAAAATATCCCATTTCGAAAAGGACCACGCTTTTATAAAGCTCTTGTAAAACGGTCCGTTTAGCTACCATTTGTTCTAGAATAGTCGATACGTTTCCCAGTTGCGCGATGGCGTATTACCTCGCTCGTCTACTTTTTACTGTAGCCACTCGACCCACGCACCAACCAGCAGCGGCACGTCATTCCTTCAGGAGCGTCTTTACAGGAGACCGGCATACTTTTTTCTTTCATTGGCGAGTTAGTAAACCAGACCTTTGTTGGTTGTAGAGGTCTGTATTTGCGGCATAAAATACGGTATTTGCATCTAGGCCTAATGTGACGCGTAAATCTAATCCAGCTAGCCAATAATAAACAAGTCAATTTCATACTGAATAATACTTACATATCCTTACTAATATTATAAAGGCGAAAGTTTGTATGTATGGATGGATGTTTGTTACTCTTTCACGCAAATACTACTGAATGGATTTTAATGAAACTTTACAATAATACGGCTTATACATCAGAATAAAACATAGGCTATAATTTATATATATATTTTATGTATATCTGTCTTTCTGTCTGAATGTTTCGCCTTCAGCCTATTCTACGCAAACGTAGGTGCGGGCAGCAGCTAGTGATATTATAATTATAACAAAATGTCATAAAATATCGTAAAATATCGTTGGTACCGAAACTCAAAACTAAGAAGCGAAATTTCTGAAGACGACCTAAATTACTCAAGATATCTCATTAGATTTTTTTTCTGTCTCGATGCTCAATGCGCGACTGTAAGCTTCAAGGCCTAAGTACTAATTTTTTTAACGTTACCGTATAACAGACTTTACTCTTACTCAACACAGAGTAAATTTACCGTCTTAGAATTTCAAACAAAATTTATTTATACTCTCCTCCGATAAAGGTGTTTTAAATCAAACCAGATCCAAAAGCTATGTCACAGCCAAAATTAAAAGTTGCAATATTTGAAATTCTAAGAATATTCAGTGCGAGACGGGGAACCAATCTCACTCACCCTTGTGAAGGACCTAAGATTTACCGGGTTTACGTGAGTTCAGCCGTCTTACTATTACGATATCTTAGAAAGTCATTTCATGAAATATTATTTTATTATTTTCTTTTGACTTTTGACAAAGGTGGGAAGATCCGTTATCCGTTACCGACCATGGAACATTAGTGGCATTACACTAAAGAATACACTTCCGACTGGTAGATCTAGGAGACGTTTCAATTGACAGAAACAAACAAATAAATCAGTCAGTGTAACCTTTACAGTCGATTGAAGTGTAACTAAAAAAAATCTTTAAAATAATTAATTATCATTAATTAATAATAAATTATTAATATTTATTTTTATTTTAGATATTTATTTCAAATACATACATACTTATGGCGTAAATATTTTAAATCGGATGCTATAGTTTATAAAGCCATAGCCGTAAGACGTTTCCGTCTACAGCATTCAGTTACCCCTTAGTCTCGCCAAAAGAAGTTTTACTAATATAGTTAAATTTCTATCTAATTTTTTTATTTATTTATTTAATCTTTATCAAGCTTCCTTCTAGATCAGAACAATAAAGGTAGACTAGCTCTCTAGGGATCTGACCAAATAACTAATGGTGTTGTAAGAAACATTTTCATATTTAGTTTATATAGATTAAAGTATGATTTACACAATTATACAAGTGTTCAATTAACGCTTATGTAATTAAAGGCTGAAGTGATAGAAAAAAGCAATTACGACACGGAAAATGAGGAATGCAGGTGGAATAGTGAGTACGAAGGAAGTGTTTCCTCGCAGTCTTTATAGTACATTTTTAAAACAGCCGGCTTAATAAATCTTATTGAATGTTCAAATTATGAATTTAACATCAAAAATGCAATACGAAAAAGTTTACAATCCTGTTGTTCATAAATCAAAAATAATCATTAAGCGTATAGTGAATAAAAAAAGAAGTAGGGTCAACGCCTTTAATTTGGGTGCAAACTGATCGACATTCAAATTTATGAATTAGCGTATTGAGTCAAGGCCCAATATTGTATGAATCTGATTGCGCAAAATAACGTATTCAATTGACTTACAATGTTATCTATCTTGTAGGAACCATCTATTTGGTATTCTATTGAACTAACGGTGTTATGTAGCGCCATGGACATAATATAATCTAATCTAGTTTTGTCTTACCATATTGCTGAATCTTGTAGAATTACACTTTTTTAAAATAATTATAAAATTTATTCATTACCTAAGAAAATCGAAATATTGCATAATTATAAATGTATTCATTCATCGTTTGTTCGTAGATTATGACGTCATTTTAAAAGCATTAAGCAAATTTACGTACCTATTAAAGTATCGTTGTTAAACTAATGATTTAGGCGCAGTAGTGCCATCTCGTATTTGTTTGAGTAAGTTTTATATGTTCAACTGTCTACAGCGCCATCTTGCGATAGAATTGTGTTTTCCGCTCCAATGTTTTCTGTTATTTGATAAGACCGAATAAAGCTACAGTAGAGATCAGGTAGATGGCCCATTTATAATATTTCACGCAAAACGCGTAAATTTAAAAACTCACCCTCAATCATTAAAACTTAAAATATAGTTTTGGTAGTAATGAGCGATTTATTTCATAATAGTCACAAGACCTAATTAGATTATCATTCAGTAACTAAAACCATAGGTTATATTATTTGAATTGCGGGAACATACTAACTTGTATGAAGATTACATTTTTTGTGGGATAATTTTATCGCTTTCAATCTAAAGGACTAAGAACCTATGTAAAACAACCAATGAACCCATGTTTATTGCATCAGACACAGCAGTTATAGAGAGAGACCCTAACAGCTTTTTGAAGTAGTATTATATTAGGTATAATATTAAATCCAAAGTTAAAGTTTCCAAACGTGCAGCAGAAATGTCATTTCTGCGACACGCTAGGGTTCACTGTAATCAAGAGGTGGTTAAATTTCACCAAACAAAGTAAATTGTTCCGTTAAGAAGCTAGTATGATTGTGAAACTTGATGTGAAAATTTAAATGTTTGAATATTTTGTTTTTTTTCTTTTTTCTATTTTTAATGTGAACAGTTGCCAAGCGAGCATACGGTTCACCTGATGTTAAGTGAATACCGCCGCCCTGCTACACCCGAGGGTTGCAGATGCGTGGACAACTTTTGAACATTGGGCTCCAGCCACCTCACTCACCAGACGAAACGCGAAAGTATTATACTTCCACTTTACGCCACTCTTATGTGAGGTCGTGGTACTTACCCGAACGAGCCTACCCATTCCGGCAACAGCCGAGGCTGCTGCGTGGCCTACCACCGTAATCGTATCCTTATTTCGGAATTTTATGATAGAAATTGCTGTGTTGTATTTCTAGAAGCATAGGGTAAAGCTATTTTGTGTTTCAAGGCATAGATTTATATATGCACTTTTAACAGATAATATACACCAGTAAAAGTCCATTCGTCTGAATAATTGCCGTTAAAACTTTTTTTTTTTTCACTGATTTACACGCTTTCAGTCCCGAAACTATTAAAGCTTCATAGAAGGCAGAACCGGTGGGCTAGCTAGAACCCACGAGTTTGACACCCTCATGCGTGCGTTAGCTAAGCAGTGTCGCCTAATAACTTAATACATCATCAGTTGGCAATGAACAGATAACAAGGTATTTCTGCCACTTGATTGTCAAGGACATTTTAATGACATCAACATTTAAGACTGGAATTTAGGTCAATAATTATAGTGAAACTTTAATTCTTTGTTATGTTTTTGTTTATATGCTTGAAGACACCACATATATTTATTTTCTCCTTTGTCATCCTATACGGCCACTAATGTATCGATGGTTTTGTTTTCCTTCGTCCTTACGAACTTTTTGGCATCGAACAATCCCACCGTGATTGGAATATTTAAAAATGTCGTGAGTGGAAAATAAAAGCGACAAAAGACGGTAAATAGTAATAATGACAAAAACACAAAAGACAGTAAATAATGTGTTTTGTTCGCGTTTATGTTCAAAATATATTAGACATCGTGTTTTATGATAATAATAATTACAGAAGCTTCGGCTGTTGTACGCAGGGTCGTCCGGGGAAGTACCACGGCCTCACAGAAGATCAGCGTGAACTGGAAATATTATATTTTCGAGTTTCGTCTGATGAGTGAGGTAATCGGGGCCCACTTTCTAAAGGTTGTCAACATCTGCAAGCCCTCGGGTGTTGTATATGAATGTGCGTGGCAATAATCACTTAACATCAAGCGAATCGCTTGATAACTTTCGTCTTAAAAAAAAAAAAAACAATTCTTTAGGGTCCTTACGTAAATCGCACGTATATATCCGATATCCAAACGAATACGAAAACGAAACGCCACCTCTAGCTGAACCATAAGTCTCTTATTACCGCTATCATTTTCAGGTTTGCACTGGCACGGCATTTGCGACTAAACGCGGGGCCCAGTTAAGTGACACGTATTGTCTGCGACTCGGCGCTGACATCGTCGGAGGCACACGTTGCCGATTGCCACGGGATTGCCGCCTTTGTGCCCTGCCGCGTAAGCGTCACAATCGCCGGCTGCCACGGGCGGAAGGGGACGCTCCAATTGCATTGTCGCCCACACCTATGATCGCTCACTGCGTACCGATTCACACGCCGGCCCGCACTGGGCTCGAATCAATCTGTGAGCGGCCCATTTAGCTCGGAGGTATTGGACGATAATTGGCTTGTTGACAACACTACGTCCTCGTTCGAATTGCATCCCACGGTTATAGTAAGGAACGACAAGTTTGAATTGTGCATTGTTTCTTAAATATTCGTAACAAGGGCTTAAAAGCTTTGACCTTAAAAGCTTTGTACCAAGTCTAATATATTACATTTGCATTAAATGTATTTCCTGCATTTTATCTTGTTATTTTTCCTTGTTTAAACGTAATTTCTAATCTCCTCAGTAAATACAATGAACATGGAGCCTCCTCGAAATGTCGCAAGTAGTGTTATTAAAAACGGGCAGGAAAATTAGTAAATAAGCATTAGTCCACATGGACGCGAGATACGACAGACACTTGGTACAAAACTACGTTTCACGAATTATAACAATCTGCGGGTAGTAATTGCAGGAATAAAAAAAACGTTAATGCATCGAATAGCAAACAGCTTTGGTAAATGGCAGAAGAAGACTTGCCCTATATGTCCAGTATATTCCAATACAAATTTTATGAAGCCAGCTTAC